CGTCCATTGAAGCAAAAATGTCCTTTATGGTGGAAAATTGTTCGTTGGATTATTTAAATAAAAAAAAAAATTTCAAGAATTTTACACTTGAAGGAAATTTTGGAAACCATAACTGGTTCTTTTCTACCTATTGAGCCACCTTTTGTTACCTTTACACAGATTTTTAGTACTTTTTTAGGAGGAAAATCAAATATATGTTAACCTGAGGTTACTAGAGTCTCTCTGTTTAATGACATACAAAAAGATTGCTAATAATATTAAGGATAATGTATTAAGAGCTATTCTGTACTGTTATGTCTATGTGTACAAAGAAAAAGATTTAGACTCCCATAGTCATTTACAAGATCTCATAACAGTTTAATAGGGTATATGCCGAAGCATGCTAATATTATATACTTATATTAATATATTATATAATTTATATTATATATTATATTTATATTATATTATTATATTATATATTATATTAAAATTCTAGTGCTATACTTTTATATATACTTATATATTAAATGCTTTTAATTTGCCAGTAACCTGGGTCAAGCACTTCTGGCGAACTCTATGCCAATGCAAAAACCGGCACGTTTAAGGGCTGTTTTCTTTAAAAATCATTGATCTCCACTGGCTGAGTGAAATCTGATTTAAAGAGGGTCTCAGATTGTACAAGAAGCACTGCATTAAATTACATTTTCCACCGCCATGTCTTTAAAATATGAGCATTTATTTTACCCCAGTATATTCAATGGAGCTTCTGCGCTAGCCTGCCGATTCTGACATGCACGTGCGAGTAAACGACTTTTTGTCTCGTTTTACGCTTGAGCAACTAAATGAACGCCAAAGTTTATTTAACTGAATGTATTTTAATGACATTACAACATCGATGCTGTAAAAGGAATCGTTTAAAATGGAAAAAAACGGAAGTTTATCAGTATGGGAAAAACACTAGCTCGGCATAAACCCTATATTAATGGCATCATCTGTCAATATAATGCAAATGAATTGGGAGCTTTTTCAAACATATCAGTCATATCATATGATCAGTGTCATGTTTTATAATGCTCGGAACTATATGATGATATCAGATTTTCTTTTTGCAATTAATTGCTGAAGCTTTTATCATGATATGCAGTATTATCACGATTTTAACCTAAGCTGCATAAAAGGCTATTTTAAACACTTAGTTTAATTGCTTATTGCAGTGGTCCCCAACATTTTTATCACTGCGGACGAGTCAACACTTGACAGTTATACCACAGCCCTATGTAGATTGCTAGGCTACCATCAACTGTTTTTTCAGGGGATGACAAGCTGACAAAACACTGCACTGCAGCGTTTGGGTGTTCTGTGTTTGTCCGAAATAATTAGTCCACCAAAATGTATATATTCCATACAAAGTATGAAGCTGATTGGTCAGTTCTTGTCACGTGAGTTGCAGTGCGGTCGCTTCCACACTCTCTGAAATAAAGGTATGAGGGTGGTATCTTTTCAAAAGATCCACATTTGTACTTACAGAGTCCATATTGGTACCTAAAAATTTTAAAAAGTACTAATATGTACGCTTGAGGTATTAATATGCACCCTTTAGGTACAAATGTGTACCTTTTGAAAAGGTACCACCCCAGTGACAGCTCTCGTGGCTTTTTTTTCTGAGAGTGCAATATGATTGCCTCCATTGGAAATAATGAACTTTGTGTCTTTTCTGCACCATTTGTGAATGACTGCTGTCATTTGTGATCTCCAGCAGTTGATCGTCTTCTTGCAAACACATGCTGGATTCACCTGATTGTTGACAAATAGGTTGTGGATCCATTCCTTAGCAGTTTATGGATCCTTGGGCCTTTTACGCTATGCAAAGAAACTTTCCAAAGACGTCTGTTTCTTACTCATTTTACTAGCTTGTTGGTTAAATTTTGGCACTCAAATGACTAAGGCTGCGTCCGAAACTGCAAACTTCCATACTATATAGTACACTAAAATCAGAATGCGAGCTGAGTAGTATGTCCAAATTCATAAAATCAGTATGCGAGAAGTACCCGGATGACTTAATACTTCCGGCGAGATTCTAGAGTGCGCATCCCATGCATGCTGTGCTATCTCATGATGCCCCGCGAGCCAATTCATGAATGGGAGTAAAACGACGCAATTGATGCAGGTAGGTCACGTGACCATGACAAAATGGCGGATGTAATACGTCCCAATTCTTCCATTCAGACTTTTCACGTTCATACTGTATAGACCGTACTTTTCTAACAGCCGAGTAGTACGTTTAAATTTAAATGCAGTAGTAGGCAGTTTTAGGACACAGCCTAAGATGTAATCGATAGAATACAGTCATTTTTCAAAATAAAAGACAGATCAGACAAAAAAATAAAACTGAAATTAAAAAAAATTTCGTCTGCAGCCAGAGCAATTGATCCATGGGCTGGTACCGGTCCATGGCCTGGGGGTTGGGGACCACTGCTTCATTGTATATAAGGTCAAAGTAAACAAATGCTTCATAATTAATACCAAAAGGATGATAAAGTACAATAGTTAACACTTATAATAAAGTCTCATTAGTAAATGTTTTTAAATTCAAAGGTGAGAATCCATTTTTGAAGCAGTAAAAATAAGTGTTTTGACTTCAATATTTTGGCATCGCTGACAGATGATGTCATTAATATTATATTGTTAATATATTGATATAAAAATATTATATTGATATTAATATTGTATTGATATAATATTATATCACATATATTTAATTTTCCTGCCCAAAAATAATAAAAATCAGTGTAAAGGTACCAAAAAACACGAAAGAAGAACCAGTTATGGTTTCCAAAATAAGCTTTAAGTGAAAAATTCTTGAAATTCTTGACATTTTTCTTAGTTTTGAACAACATTTAAATAGTCTAAAGAACAATTTTCCACCTTAAAGGACAATTTTGCTTCAATGAAAGCAAAAAATGTCTATAAAGACCTTTATTTTTAAAAGCGTGTATCTTCTTTATAACCTAATCAGATATTAGACTCAATCCCAGCAGCATCTTGCACTCAAATAAAAAAAGATTTTTGCTGCTTGTTTAAACTTCTTATTTTAAAATATCCACGATTTCAATATTCAGCATGTTCATTATCACGATATATTGAATTTTTGAATATCAGCATGCCTGCCGAACACATTAAAATCCATAATATGTAAATGAATAATCCTCTAATTCTGAGTTCAAATGCTTTTAACAGTGTTAACGTTATTCTGCCTCACAAGTCAAGCTAGCATTTTCTCTCTTTCTTTTCTCTCCGGGGCCAACACAGCATCAGCAGAAAAAAAAGCAAGCTGCCGCAGAACAGAAACACTAAAGGAGACAGATAGAGAGAGAACAAAGCACCGTACGGAGCAATAAGACACCTCACAGAGGTCAGCGCAATGACATATTGCCATCTTCAAATGAGGACTGACGCTAAAGGTTGCAGCTTTATAGATAACCAGCTGTATCGTCATGCGTTACATACAGAAGCTGAATGTAGGTCACATAAAGTAGATCACATACATCAACCTATAAACCCAAGCTCTGAGGTTAAACATCTAGGTTTGGGACACTTCAGCTCAGAATCCTACAAAAGCTTGTTTAGGATAGGACTGTATCACCATTGTGTCCTTGATCGAGACAGTTAACCTCAAAGAAATCAATCAATAAATAAAGGAAATGGAAAATATATGCTGGACATTATTGTAACTGATATGATGCTGTAGTATATTTTCCACATAGCATTCAGACAAGAGGGACAAAATGTAAATCGCTGTAAAATACAGTAACAAAGGTATTTGCTTGCACTGTGAGGTGGTTGCATAAATGTTACATTTACACAAATAGACTCTTTCTCTTATGTATTTTAATTGTATATGTTGATTGCAGTAATAAAAAATAGATCAATGGATATATTTAATTTTTCTAAATTAAGTGTTTAAATTCAGCCCATTTACATTGTTTGCAACCAAATTAAGTTAAACATTACTACATTTATTGTGTTTAATTCAGCCCATATACACTGTTTGCAACCAAATACCTTAAAAATGCTAGTATATCCATTGTAAAAATGTGTAAATCCAATGAAATATATACTACTTTACTCGCATCGCATTCGAACGAAAGGTTCAATATGTAAGTTATTGTAAAATACAGTAAAAGCTGAAGATATTTGCTTGCACTGTGAGGCCGTTCGCATAAATGTTGCATTTAAACGACTGCACTGTGTAATATATTCATTCATTCATTCATTTTCCTTCGGCTTGGTACCTTATTTATCAGAGGTCACCACAGTGGAATGAACCGCCAACTATTCCAGCATATGTTTTAAGCAGCGGATGCCCTTCCAGCCTCAACATACAGTACTGGAAAGCTCTCTAATATATATTATAGATTTTATATTTTGATTATTTAAAGTTGTGAATTATTGCAAAATTGGAAATGTAAATTTGATAGTAATAAAAATGATTTCAAATAAAAATATTAAAACTACACTATTCGCAATAGACTAAAATGAAAGATAGTCAAATATATGATTATTTAATTAAAGTAGCGTCTTTACAGTGCTCAGCATATATAAGTACACCCCTCTCAAATCTCTCTTTTAAATTCATATTTTAATAGGAAGCTATACAAGATTACATTTGTGCATATACATTACATTAATTGTATTGAAGCCAAATCTGGAGCTAATCTAAGAAAATAACTTATGATAAATTTAAATTTAAAAAAAAGGAAAATTAAGAGAAGCAAAAAGAAAAAGGAAAAACTTTAGTTAAAATATATATTTTTAAATCTTTCAATTTATCTTTCAATTTCTAAATATGTTTGGTGACTAAAATATTATTTTCATAAATATATCTGTTTAATAAATCTGTTTTGTTTAAATGCACTAAAATTCATCGCCTATATTCACTGAAAAATGAAGAAAAATATTAATTTTCGAAATTATGCTGAGCACTGTATATAGCTTTATTATGGAGTTCCCAGTCTTACCTCGCAGTCGTAAAGTTCGCTCAGTTGCTCAATGATCCATTCCTCAAGAATGAGTCTTTTCCGCAGCTCCTTTCGGTCGTATTTCACCGTCACTTTGCCTTGCTTTTTCTGCACCGGGTCATCCCGTTGCATCGGGCTGGAACCCGCGCATCCCACGCCGGGCTGGAAAAAGACCCGAGCCGGTGCGGTGGTCTCTGCGCTGGCGGTGGACATGATGGCGATGATTATGATGATGGTGGTGTGTCTGACGGGTGTATATGCAAGGACACGGTTTTCTCACACCTGCTATTTAAAGCCCAGCGCGAGCATTTAAAGGACCCCCGGCGCGTGGGAGGGGAATGTCAAGCCAATGTGCGCGCTCGCGTTAACGCTGTGAGTGCCAGAGCGCGCACAGCATTGGTGAGACGGGAAAATCCCTCTGCGCTTATTGGACACAACGTTACAGATCAAGCTGTGCCAGTGCAGTTTTTTACAGTATCGCATGATACTTTGTCTTGTCATGTTATTAAATGTTTACAAATATTCATAAATCATAATTCTTATATCTGTTTGTTTAATATCTTTTTTATTTATCTATCTATCTATCTATCTATCTATCTATCTATCTATCTATCTATCTATCTATCTATCTATCTATCTATCTATCTATCTATCTATCTATCTATCTATCTATCTATCTATCTATCTATCTATCTATCTATCTATCTATCTGTCCGTCTGTCTGTCTGTCTGTCTGTCTATCCATCTGTCCATCCATCTGTCTGTCTGTCTGTTTGTCTGTCTGTCTATCCGTCTGTCTGTCTATCCCTCTGTCTGTCTGTCTATCCATCTGTCTGTCTGTCTATCTGTCTGTCTGTCTATCCGTCTGTCTGTAAGTCTGTCTGTCTATCTGTCTGTATAACAGTCTTACCATCTGCCTGTCTGTCTGTCTGTCTGTCTATTCGTCTGTCTGTCAGTCTTACCGTCTGTCTGTCTGTCTATCCGTCTGTCTGTCTGTCTACCCATCTGTCTATCTGTCTGTCTGTCTATCCGTCTGTCTGTCTGTCTATCTGTCTGTATGTCAGTCTTACCATCTGCCTGTCTGTCTATCCGTCTGTCTGTCTGTCTGTCTTACCGTCTGCCTGTCTGTCTGTCTGTCTATAAGTCTGTCTGTCTGTCTGTCTTACCGTCTGCCTGTCTGTCTGTCTATAAGTCTGTATGTCTGTCTTTCTGTCTATCTATCTTTCTGTTTGTCTGTCTGTCTGTCTATCCGTCTGTCCGTCTGTCTGTCTGTCTGTCTGTCTGTCTGTCTGTCTGTCTTTCTATCTGCCTGTCTATCTATCTTTCTGTCTGTCTGTTTGTCCGTCCGTCCGTCCGTCCGTCCTTCTTTCTGTCTGTCCTATCTATCTATCTATCTATCTATCTATCTATCTATCTATCTATCTATCTATCTATCTATCTATCTATCTATCTATCTATCTATCTATCTATCTATCTATCTATCTATCTATCTATCTATCTATCTATCTATCTATCTCTATGTTCATCCTTCAATCTTTCTTTTTTTCTTTCTTTTTTTCTTTCTTTCCGTCTGTCTGTCTGTCTGTCTGTCTATCCGGCTGCCTGTCTATCTGTCTTTCTGGCTGCCTGTCTGTTTGTCTAACCGTCTGTCTGTCTTACTGTCCATTCGTCTTTCTGTCTATCCGTTTGTCTGTCTGTCCGTCTGTCTGTCTTCCATTCATCCATCTATCTGTCTATGTATCTATCTTTCTATTTGTCTGTCTATCATACCATAAAAAAGAACATCCAAAGCATATTTCAATTTCACAAAATATTATATAGTGAAAAAAGGTTGTTTAGATTTTAGTTTAGTGATCACCCTTCTGGAACCCCTTGTTTTAGTGTGTGAACGACAAAGAAAAAAATATTTGCCAAAAATACCACAAAAAAACAAAATGATTTGCCTCTACGCTCTTGCATAGTACAAAAGCTTACATGGTGGTGCTACATTTTCAAAACGTATATGTTTGTACCTAACAGTTCCTCATTGGTAGCTTTAAGGCAAACACACTGATAACAGTATCCTGTAGAATCTTCAGTAACTTACTTGCAGCAGTTTGCCAGAAACAACTCTATTTACATTTACAGCAGCATTTATCTTGCGGCATGTGTTTACAGTATTGTATATCTTTACTGTAAAATATACAGTAATTTTCAGAATGCAACTTTAAAATAAAGTAACATACTGCATTAATGTCCTACATTAAAATTACAGTTCATATTACAGTTAAATACTGAGTAATTTACAAAAATCGTTAACAGTGTATAGCTAAAAAGTACAAAGGTATTTCTCATGGTAGTTGTGCATAATAACTATATCTCTTTAAGGTGCTGTACAGATTTACATTTAGTAATTTAGCAGCTTTTGTCCAAAGCAACTTACAATTGAGAAGGCATTCAGCAATTTAACAAGAAGAGGCAATACACACACAAGAAGAGCTAATTGCAACCTAGGCTCATTCCTCTGGCTAAATAATTTGCAATCTCCAGAAATGTATATAGGGCTACATTTTCAGAATGAGCCTATGTACTTGTGCTCATAGAATTAAGTGCTAGAGTAAGGAGGGGGGAAGTTTTTATTTTATTATTCTTTTTAGAGAGAGAGAGATTTTTTTTCAAACTGCTTGTACCTTCCTTTGGATTGAAAGTGTACCGCCCAGTCATGACAGCTTTTGTACCTTTATTTCAAAGAGAGTTTTTCCTGTTACGTCGATGCAGATGTTTACTTGAAAGACGGGAACAGAGGTTGGCTTTGGGTGGGAAATAGAGGACGGTGAGGAGAGAACGTGTTTAGGGCTTATGTAACCTAATGAAACTCCTACTAATGAGATGGCTCGGTCCCAAAACACCAGGGCTGCTCTAGAAAGAGAACAAGAGCGAATGAGGGAGGGAGATTTAGGACCTTCATGTTCTCATTTATCTACTTTGTAATGCGTCTTAATAACCATGTGGGATGTATGATGTATGTGAGCAGCCAAGATGATGGATTGGTAGGCAAAAAGCATGGGGTGTGTGTGTGTGTGTGTGGATTAGAGGTTATCTAGGGATATTCAATATTAAACCATCCAATCCAAAAATACACGGCTTATTGTTTTGTTTTTGTACATTCTGTGTTAAGCTGTATGTAACAATTCCTAGAATTATTGTTTTAATGATGTTTTTTCCCAGTTGTTTGTGTGTGAAAGAGAAACATGTCAAATGTCACTTCCAAAAATAACCAGAGGCGCATGTACCACACTTATCTGAGTTTATTCTTACTTTACAACTAAGCCTAATTCTCACAGAAACCTTATTTATCTCCAGATCATGAAGCTTACACTGTAAATTGATGCCACCTTTTGGATGTGTCAGAATATTGCAAGGAAAATAATGTTTATATTCTATCTATCTATCTATCTATCTATCTATCTATCTATCTATCTATCTATCTATCTATCTATCTATCTATCTATCTATCTATCTATCTATCTATCTATCTATCTATCTATCTATCTATCTATCTATCTATCTATCTATCTATCTATCTATCTATCTATCTATCTATCTATCTATCTATCTATCTATCTATCTATCTATCTATCTATCTGTTTATCTATCTGTTTATCTGTCTGTCTGTCTGTCTGTCTGTCTGTCTGTCTGTCTGTCTGTCTGTCTGTCTGTCTGTCTGTCTGTGTCTATATATCTGTCTATTTATCTCTATCCATTCATCCATCTCTTTATCCATCTATCCATCGACATTATCCATCCATCCATTCATCCAGTGAGTCATTAGTAGATATTTTTGTGGACAATATTCATTGAATAATTTATACCTTTCCATCCATCCATCCACTTATCCACCCACCCATCCATCCATCCATCCATCCATCCATCCATCCATCCATCCATCCATCCATCCATCCATCCATCCAGGGAGTCATTAGTAGATAATATTGTAGATATTATTCATTGTATAATTCATACATTTCCAACCATCCATCCATCCATCCACTTATCCACCCATCCATCCATCCCTCCTTCCATCCATCCATCCATCCATCCATCTATCCATCCATCCATCCATCCATCCATCCATCCATCCATCCATCCATCCATCCATCCATCCATCCATCCATCCATCCATCCATCCATCCATCTATCCATCCATCCACTAATCCACCCATCCATTCATTCATCCATCCTTCCATCCATCCATCCATCCATCCATCCATTCAGGGAGTCATCAGTAGATATTATTGTAGAAGGTTTTGACAAAATGAAGGAAACCTGACCTATTTATCTTGCCCCTGGTTACGTTATAAGTAGATAATATGTATGTTTATATGTGTTTTTCTTTTTTTTTTTTTACACTTTTTTATTTTATTTATTTTTTTACAGCTGTATTTTTTGCATGTATATATTTATATATATTTATATATTTAAGGCTTAAAGGACTCCATCCATTTTTTATATAATAAGAATTTAATATCTAAATTAAAATCACCATGATTTAAGTATTGGACAAGCACTCAAAGGTGGATCATTTTCAGTGTCTGAAAAGGGAATTTGACAACACATGCAGACACACCACTAGATGGCAACGCATTCATGCAAGTTCAATCTAAGTGTTTTTTAATTATTACTGGTTTTTAACAAGAACATACATGGTAGTATACTAAACAGAATAAGAAAAAACTACAGGCTGTCTTAGTTTTCTTATTTTTTCTAGTATCCCCTCAAAATAATATAAAATGTATTAAATAAATATAATCATATCCTCTAAAAAAGAGACAAGCTTAGTATTTTAATTGAAAATAATAAACATATAAGATATTTTTTGCTAATCCCTTAACTGCTGTCTTTGGTATTGTATGTGAAAATAACAATTTGTCTAAAAGTGAATTGGACTGCATTGCCTATACCTCTCTTTTGGCAAGACACTTGGTTTTAATCAATTGGAAACATTCATTTTAAGAAAAAAACAAGACTTAGTTTAAATGGTTCTGAGTCCAAGTTCACTGACATGTGGCGTCCCCTTCATAAATTACTTCCAAAGCCAAATGTAATTGTAAGTGGACAAATTGATGTTGATGCTGTCAAGTCTTCATTTTTTTTGTCTTTGTTTATACACGATTATAAAGCACTATGTTTATATGTATGTTGGGTTTTTAGTTATGTTGATAATGCAATGTATGTTTTTTTATTCATTAGAATTAATATGAGTATACAATACAAACTAATATAAACAATTATAAATAAAATAAACTCCAACACTTAGGAATTATTGTATTTG